ACTTACTTCCTAACTGTAGTATCTTTATAAGAGTTTTCAAAGTTATGCCCCTCATTTTGAGATTGTAGGTAATGGTTATTAGCTTAAAATATCTTCTTCTCAAAGAGAAAGTAAAATTGCATTTTGCCAAATAGCACTATAAAAATGAGTTCTGTACAATATTATAATTTTAATGTTCATTTGATGGCTTATGTAAGTGCTATGCTCATCTGCTTACAATAGAATTTTCCAGTAAAGAATAATGCACAGGTTATATTTAAAAAAAAAAAAAAAACTTCGTTTTAAAAAACTTAAGGTATGACTTCTGCTTACAAAATTATAAAACACAGGTTTCCGTGAAATATTCATTTTCCAAAGTACATGTAAAACATGAATTAATATAATTTATAAATTGTCAAGATTACCTCTGTAGTGAAAATCAAAGAAATGTGGAATGGAATTTCACCTGAACTTCTGAGCTAGTCTGTTGTTTTTATTTGTGCTCCTTTTGACACATAGTGCCTTATTTTTTTCTATACTCCTCAAATGAGGCTAAAACATTTGCCAATGTAGGCAATTTTCCTGGGCTTCCTTGAAGACACAGTTCAACACTGCAAAATATTTACAGCTATATTCTTTGGACTACAATGACATGTTCACATGACTTTCTGGCCAAAGGTTATGTCCTATTAGTCCTAGGAAGGTTCAAGGACTCTACACAGTTTGTGAGATGCTGTGGTCAATCAGTTACATAAAGTGGCTGCCACAGTACTTTTGTTAGTATAATACCAGTACTAGACAACATTTAGAGCAGATAAATTTTATATTTCGAAATAGAACTAAAATTTGGACATTCAAAAATAATTACATTAACATGGGAAAGTCCTTGATTCTTAAAATACATCAATCATTAGACAGTGTAATTTTTATTTTTAACACACGAAAGAAGCTAACAGAAAATATTCATACCTCCAGCATTTCTTATATTCAATGCTATTGACAAGAGACGAAGCAAGTACATGTTAAAAAAAAAAAAGAAACTCAGCTTGTGAAAGGCAGAGAAAGGTCAAACACAGATCAATAAACAAACAAACAAAAAATGTGGGCAAGTCCAAGGCAGAGATAGTGTCAGGTTTAAGTAAAAAATTGACACCAGTTTCTCTAGCTTTTACTTTCTAAGGTAATGGGAAAGAAATCCTTTTAAAAGACAAGCAGAGAAGCATGCAGCTGACAACAACCAAGATTTGATAGAAGGGGAGAATGTGGAGACAGAAGCTCCCTGTTCTTCTCAAAGGCAGCTTCTAAGACCATCCCTTTTCCTTGAAGAGTGTTTGAATTTTATAGAGGAGTGACCTGTTAAGTCTAGAATTATCGTACTTTCTGTATCTTCCAATCGGGAGAGATAACCTCCTGGTAAGGTTCCACTTCCTTCCACGGCATGGGAATATCTCTGGCATATAAATGGAGCGAGTGTATATATTACAATGATGTCCTGCATCAATCGCGGGATGACAAAGACCTCATTTCCCAAAAGGAATTGGTAGAAAAGATGGGAATTTCTGCTGGAATGAGTTCTGCCTTATGCAGACGGTAGGACATTAGCATTACCTCATAGGGGAAGGTTCTGCCAGAATTTAGTTAGGCATTGGACCCAATTAACTATAGGATATAATCATACTAAGGACCAGTTTAAATTCTCGAAGTTGGTTATGTATGATTAAAGATGTCTAAGACAGAGGTGATCTAACTCTAATAAAGAGTTAAGGTACAGAGTAGGAAACAGGACCCCAATCTTCCAAAATTTTATATGTTTTTGCCTGCAAAGGCAGATAAAATCTTCAAATCTAGTGGCCAAGTGGATCCAGGTAAGCTAATCTGTGACATGTGTGGTTTAAACCCTTCTGCTGAAACCACTAAATTGAGCAGTTCCAGTTTGTATCTGCAATGAGGCAGAGAAACATAGTCCCATGATCCAGGGATGTCTCCCTTTGGTACAGGTACTGAAACACCATTTTTATAGTTTTAGGGCTGTGGAGGCCTTACTGACACTACCTTGGACAAGCAACACCCACTTCCCACCCTCTGGCAAGTAAATATAAATTTAGAATAGCCTAAAAAGAGATAATCTGGCTTTCTCCTAAGGGGCATGTACCACCACAGGCAGCAATGATTAACAAACTCCTATAATTTTCATGAATTGCGGTCATCTTGCTTTGCTGGAGGTAATATGGAGTAACAGGGATACAGTGGGGCCCACTGGGCGCCATTTTTATTTTTTATTTTTTGAGACAGGGTCTTACTGTGTTGCCCAGACTGGAGTGCAGTGGCGCTATCTCGACTCACTGCAACCTACACCTCCCGGGCTCAGGCAAGTCTCCTGCCTCAGCCTCCCAAGTAGCTGGGACTACAGACGTACACCAACGCACCCCAGTTAATTTTTTTTTTTTTTTTTAATTTTTGGTAGACAAAGGATTTCCCTATATTGGCCAGGCTGGTCTCAAACTCCTGGCCTCAAGTGATCCACCCCCTCAGCCTCCCAAAGCGCTAGGATTACAGGCGTGAGCCAACATGCCCGGCCTACATTTTTCTTCCTTAAATCTGCAAGTTGGGCCAAAGAGGACACCAAAGTCCTATGGATTTGTATCAGCCAGGCACTAAGACAAGGCTTCAGTTACACTGCTGTTGCCAGGCCATGGGTGGCAAAGAAATCACACGTCAACTTTGCAGAAGCCGAGAACACCAGAGTGAAGTCTAGAGTGAGAAAATCAATCAAGGAGAAGAGGCACAAGATGGAATGGTTCAGGGTCTGTTCAGGCAAGCCTGCAGAAAGGAGCACTCCTCAGGGGTTTTGAAAACCCGGCAGCAGAAACCAGGAGTGAGTGAGTTAGGAAGTGTAAGGTGGCCCTGGAGTGATGACTGAAGGTCAGCAGTCCCATTCCAGCTGTCCTGCCTCACTCCTACCCTCTCATCACCCCATGGAAGCCCATCCTCCAACAGGAACAGCATTGGGGCTTCCCATGAAGGCATCTATAGACAGGCCAAACAGGGTGTAAGGAAGCAGACCCAGCGTACATCGTATCTATCCACATCACTTTATTTAAACAAGCAAGAACATGCTAGCACAGTCTCCCATTACTATACTACAGTTACGTTGTACTAATTCTGGTACCCTATAAAGTTCAAAAAAAGAGGACTAAACCTATAAATGAAATTGTTATGCCTTTTTGATTCTGCTATTATATGATGCTACTCAAGTGCAGTGACTATTTGTAATGGTAAGACAAGAAAATAAACTTCCAAAGTTGTATCCCTTCTCCCTCAAAATCTATTCAGTATTTCTTAAAAACTTCTATTGACAAAAACGACTTAATCTAAAAAAGCAAAATCAAGACAAACATGAGATTATCAGAATATAAGGGTAAGTCTTATTAAGTGCTGCAGGACTGAAAGGAAGTTTTAGTCAAAAAGTTGGCTTTGCTGTAAAGTCCTAGATAAAATACTAACAATTCTCTGGAATGCAATTTTATCTTTGGTGAAATGAGGAAGTTGAATTTCATAGTCTCTAAGCAAAAACACAGCTCTAAAAACATTATGCCTTAGTTCTCTAGTTCAATTTCAATGAACTTTTGATCTTAATAATGCATGAAAGTTAACTTCAAGATCACTGTAAGAATATAATTTTTTATATGTGAAAATCTAATATTGTTTAAAGGAAATAAGAAGCATTTTAGAAGAATCTCTTCCAATATTTCTATGTCAACATACAGTTAATTAATTTTAAAATACTTCTAATGCAAGAGAAATATAAACCAAAGTCTAACTTTTAACAGTGTGGCCCAGGGCAGTGGCTTATGCCTGTAATCCCAGCACTCAGGGAGGCTGAGATGGGCAGATCACCTGAATCCAGGAGTCTGAGACCCGTCTGGGCAACATGGTAATAACTTGTCTCTACAAAAATAAAAATAAAAAATTGACACAAAAACAAAAAACAATGTAGATTCCCAGAATAATTTAGCAGATAGGCCAAATAATAGTGTACTGGGGACAATGTTTACATTCCTTACCACTGAGCCTTTAAATGCTAGAAGTGACAGTTCAGAACCCTAAATTGCTTTGGAAGGGAAGTTATAGGGGAAAGAGGAAAAAGATCTGGGAAGTGGAGGGTGACATCATTCACACTGTTCCAGCTCCCACGTTGAAAAACAAGGTTAGGCTTTGGTGGTTTCTTTTGCCCACTGTGAAACAAACAAGAAACAAACTAACTTACCCATGACACTATTTTGTAGTAGGTATTCTGAATCTATATCTTTCTCCTATCTTCCTACGGCATATATATGCATGCACATACACAGTTACAGTATTTTCTATAATTGTCCAAGTCTTTGTTCAGCACAAAAGCAGGTTCCGAGTGAAACAAGTTCATGAATTTTCCACAGAAAATCTTAACCAAAAAAAGTAAGAGATTACTGTAAAGCCTGTCTATTTGATTTTTTTACTTTTAGGGTAAATAAAATAATAATAAAAAATAAAAAAAAAAATTCTTAACATCCTTTAACAAAGATCTCCAAATCAGAATCACATGCAAATCCAATTAAAATCAAGTACAGTGTCACAAGTAGCAGGTTAAGTATTCTTATTTGTGTCTCAAAAATGACTACACCACTGTGAAATGTGTGACTTTTTCCAGGAAAGAAAATTGTATACACCTAGAATTTTCACCTTATGTTTACTTTAAAAAGGTGACACTAAATCAATATACATTATTTTCCAAAAGATGACAATATTATTCAATATTAAGCCTGCCTGATTAAAAAATAACTCAGGCATTTAGAGGTAGTTAAACATTCACATTTGGATGAAGAATTAAATATCTGCATCTGCTTAACTGACAAGAGGAAATTCAATTTATTCTGAGTACCTCTTATTACTTCAAAGGATAGACATGAAAATCCTTTCACAACAAATCCCTTCCCTGATACAGTTAAATGCAAATTCTCTTTTCCGTCTTACTCCAGAAAGCTCCTGCATACATAGGCTGATACGCCACCTACTGCAAAACCGAGCTGACAGCGCAGGCGATGCTGCCAGCGTTTCCATTCCATCACCAGGCTGGGGCTGAATAAAGGCGTGCTTGTGTGGTAGTGTTTCTTTTTAAAAAATCTCAAAGCCAAGAAGAACAAGCTGAAATAGCATCTTCAAAAAATGGAGCGTAAAATAAACAGAAGAGAAAAAGAAAAAGAGTACGAAGGGAAACACAACAGCCTGGAAGATACTGATCAAGGAAAGAACTGCAAATCTACACTGATGACCCTCAACGTTGGTGGATATTTATACATTACTCAAAAACAAACGCTGACCAAGTACCCAGACACTTTCCTTGAAGGTATAGTAAACGGAAAAATCCTCTGTCCGTTTGATGCTGATGGTCATTATTTCATAGACAGGGATGGGCTCCTCTTCAGGCATGTCCTAAACTTCCTACGAAATGGAGAACTTCTATTGCCCGAAGGGTTTCGAGAAAATCAACTTCTTGCACAAGAAGCAGAATTCTTTCAGCTCAAGGGACTGGCAGAGGAAGTGAAATCCAGGTGGGAGAAAGAACAGCTAACACCCAGAGAGACTACTTTCTTGGAAATAACAGATAATCACGATCGTTCACAAGGACTGAGAATCTTCTGTAATGCTCCTGATTTCATATCAAAAATAAAGTCTCGCATTGTTCTGGTGTCCAAAAGCAGGCTGGATGGATTTCCAGAGGAGTTTTCAATATCGTCAAATATCATCCAATTTAAATACTTCATAAAGTCTGAAAATGGCACTCGACTTGTACTAAAGGAAGACAACACCTTTGTCTGTACCTTGGAAACTCTTAAGTTTGAGGCTATCATGATGGCTTTAAAGTGTGGCTTTAGACTGCTGACCAGCCTGGATTGTTCCAAAGGGTCAATTGTTCACAGCGATGCACTTCATTTTATCAAGTAATTACCTGTGTCACGAACAAAGGCAACAAGCATGCAGCCAGCAAGCTTCGGAAAACCACAGCATCAAAGGCATCCCAAATAACATGCCCAGCTAGCTCTGTACTACAGAGCCCTGCTACTAATCAATTACTGTGAGCTAACGGTATGTAAATTCTATCGCTAAAGATGTCCTTCCTCTGGGGTGTTCCTGCTGATCAGACTCTTCCACCTAAAATGAAAACAGTAACCTTCTATATACTGTAAATAAAGACTGAATGCTTTTGCTATTTATTTGTCCTTAAGCTGTTTTTCAATCAGATTGTCTTGGGTATTTGCACAAAAAACAAAGCATGTACATTATCTATCGTTCATTTCAGTAACTGGTAATAAAATATTTTAAGGGGCTATTAAGATTTGAAATCCTTTCTACTATGGCAAAAATCTACAGAGAAACTGAACTGGTAAAATTAACCACCTGGAGCAAAACAGATGTGCAGATCTAACTAAAATAGAGCTATAGTGAAGCAAAATGAGATTGTAAGAAGACATTAAAGCTAAATTGATTTGATTTTTCCATAGCAGGCACCAAAAGCTCAATTCACAGTTCCTGTGTTTCATACTAGACTTATAGCTGAATTGGTATTTTGCTGAAAATTCCTAGAAAACTGCTTGATGACAATAAAAAGTAAATAAAAGCACTGCAACCTTCTTTGATTGTATTAATGATTATAATAAAAAGTTACACGTCACTTTAAAAGCAAACAGTACCACTTGATGATTTTGCACAAAATTATGCATAGATGTAGTCAACCAGCAGGCTACAGTAACCCTGGCTGGTCCTGGAAGTGACAAAACCCAGCAAATTCAATTCTTTGCAGGCTGAGTTCCCACAAAGCATGGATAACTTGGTCTCAATAGAGTATGTGTTATTAGAATAATAAAGGAGTTGATTTTCAGAATCACCCTAAGTGTTCATTTTTCAAGCTCAAAAATATTAAATGAATATCACTAAACATTATTCTTACGAAAGAACTTTGTTTTCAATACCTTTTTGGATGCTAAATCTCAGACTCAATGAGTTAACATTACTTCATGCCAAACAAAAAGTTATTTTAAAAATTACGTTTTATGTATGGCCATTTAAATGAAGTAATCTACAAACTTAACTTTAAATGAGCGTATTTTCCCCCTGCAAAAGACAGCTAAATCATTTCATTTGTTCTTTAACTTCTAAGAACAAAATATACTTAAATTTGCTCCTTTAAAATTAAACCATTAAATCTGGTAACTAAATCTTAATTTTAATAAATCTCAAGAAGATGTCTGAAAATCTTGACTGAGGTTACATAAACTAGCATATATGCCAAAACTTTGATTACTCATAAAAATTTAGAATAAGTAAAGCTAATATTCATTTCCAGAACTACAACTGACTTCTAGTTATAACGTCTAACGTAATGTAAAAGCTGGCTGTATATACTAAAAGAAACCTTTTAAAATCTGTTCTACAAAAAAATTCCTTCAAAAATCACATTTAAAAACCAAATTCCACATCAGCTACACAATGTTTTTATGTACACTAACAAAAACAGATTTCAACTAAAACATTATCTTTTACATAGTTTAAAACAGCTTAATCAAGACTGAACAAACTATAAAAACAGGAAAAGAATTGTAAAATTTATTTGAATGGCCACTATAATTGAACTGTTTATACGCCTCTCCAACTTAAGAGTTGACTTTTCCTTGGCATTTGGACTTTGGTAATGAAAAAAAGGTAGTGATTTACTGTCACAGCAAGATTTTCTCTAACAAGATTTCATTACAGATAATAAAAATAACCCTGACATATCTTTTTACAGGAGATATAGCTGAAGAGATCTCCTGAGAAGCATTACAAGTAAGGTTTCTCATCAAATCAAAAGAGGAAAATTTAACTATTTTAACAAAGTTATTATTGATAGAAACCATTAAAAATATCAGATTCATTTTTATGTGGCATCTTTTAGAACTTGTATTTGGACACATTTAATTCCTCCTCACACTTCTAATAAACCACAATGTTCTAAAACAATTTAGTAATCTAGAAGGAAATCTGACTAGACTGACCACCCTTATAATTTTTTATAAATGTACCTTTTTAAATTCCAAATTAATTGTACTTGGATTTATTTATTCAAGTGCCTAAATATTGTGCTCTAAGTATATAGAAAATATCTGTATTTTAATGTTAGTATTTTCTAAATATATTTAGAAACACTTTCCATTCAAGAAACTCAAGATATCATACAAAATGTCAATTATAAGTCAGAGTGAAACTCTCAGAGTATTTCTGTTCCCAGTCACTGAAAAATTTATTTCTCAAACTTTTTCTCATAAATACTGTTCCAAAAAACAAATCACAAAGTGACTATCTTTCTCAAAAGAAAGGTAATAAAAAGGTAGGTTACTATAGTTGCCATGAGCCAAACATATATTCTCTTATATTTGGAATTACCCCATGCAGTGACTCTAGCACCATCCTTAAAATGTGAAAAGATCATGGCTTTTACTATACTTTCAAAATGTATATATGGTGGTATACACAACAAATGAAACACGAGACTTTTCAAATAATTCAAGGAAGATGACTACCATGCCAGACTGAAGATGATGTTACTGAATCAGCTTATTCAGTTTATCTTTTCTTTTAAGAAAATTACTTGTATTTCAATTAGCCACACATGGTGGCATACACTTGTAATCCGAGCTACTTGGGAGGCTGAGGCAAAAGGATTGCTTAAACTAAGAGGTGGAGGTTGTGGTGAGCTGAGATCACACCACTGCACTCCAGCCTGGGTGACAGCGAGATTCCATCTCAAAAAACAAAAACAAAACCAACAAAAAAATCCACAAAACTTATAGTTCAAACGCTACTTACTTTTAGGGTGATAATAAAAGCTAACATTTATTGAGCATTTTACTACATGCCAGATACCATGTTATGAACATACATTCTCTCAATTAAACCTCAAACAATTCTAAAAAAGGTATTAATTATTCTTCCCTTTTTACTGATGAAGAAATGGAGACTTAGGGAGTTAAGTAATCTGCCCAAGATTACATAGTTATAAAGAGGTGGAACCAAGACTTGAAGCCCAGGTATACCAGTACCAGAGCCAACAGAAACCGTGTCTGATTCTGCAAGCCATTTATATCCCTAACACCTAGAACGTGGCAGAAAACAGGCATTCACAAGGTAGGTGTTGAATACAGAACACCAAAATACAGGTTTGCCTCACTTGATACAATCTTACAATGTAAGTATTCCTAAAACGTTGAGTGAAAAAGTGAATTTTAGAAAAGTAATATTTTTAACGTCATGTCATTTAAAAAACAGGTGAATCGTATGTCTATTGGCTGCATAAATGTCTTCTTTTGAGAAGTGTGTTCACATCCTTTGCCCACTTTTCTATGGGGTTTTTTCTTGTAGATTTGTTTAAGTTCTTTGTAGATTCTGGATATTAGCCCTTTGTCAGAGGGACAGATTGCAAAAATTTTCTCCCATTCTGTAGGTTGCCTGTTCACTCTGATGGTAGTTTCTTTCGCTGTGCAGAAGCTCTTTAATTAGATCCCATTTGTCTATTTTGGCTTTTGTTGCCATTGCTTTTGGTGTTTTAGTCATTGAAGTCTTTGCCCATGCCTATGTCCTGAATGGTATCGCCTATGGTATAATTTTAAAGTATAAAATTGAGGAAGTCTACTTACTAATTCTTAATTTGCAACCCATTGATTTTTGATTGCAAATCAAAACCACAATGGCCTTTGCCCACGCCTATGTCCTGAATGGTATTGCCTATGGTATTACCATTTGCAATACCACCCTGAATGGTACTGCAAATCAAAACCACAATGAGATACACCATCTCACAGCAGTTAGAGTGGCAATCATTTAAAAGTCAGGAAGCAACAGATGCTGGAGAGGATGTGAAGAAACGGGAACGCTTTTACACTGTTGGAGGGAGTGTAAATTAGTTCAACCAGTGTGGAAGACAGTGTGGTAATTTCTCAAGGATCTAGAACTAGAAATATCATTTGACCCAGTGATCCCATTACTGGGTATGTACGCAAATGATTATAAATTATGCTGCTATAAAGACACACGCACGTGTATGTTTATTGCGGCACTATTCACAATGGCAAAGACTTGGAACCACCCAAATGTCCATCAATAACAGAATGGATAAAGACAATGTGGCACATACACACCATGGAATACTATGCAGCCATAAAAAAGGATGAGTTCATGTCCTTTGCGGGGACATGGATGAAGCTGGAAACCATCATTCTCAGGAAAATATCAGAAGGACAGAAAACCAAACACCACATGTTCTCACTCACAAGTGGGAGTTGAACGATGAGAACATATGGACACAGGGAGGGGAACATCACACACCGGGGCCTGTTGGGCGGTGGGGGACAGGGGAGGGATAGCATTAAGAGAAATATCTAATGTAAATGGTAAGTTGATGGGTGTAGCAAACCAACATGGCACATGTATACCTATGTAACAAACCTGTACGTTGTGCACATGTACCTTATAACTTAAATTAAAAAAAAAAAAAAAGTGAACCATCCCTCTCACAACAGTAAAGAATATCACAAATTTGTCTGCTGGTGAATCTAAGATTTTCACATATCAGGTTTGCTGAAAAATAGGTTAACGTTTTACGACTGTATAACCCACAGAACTGACATATTAGGAGAAAAAACAAAGCACAGTGAAACACACATGGGCTCTGGAATTAGACTTGGGTTCTAATTCCATTAACTTCCACTAACTTGCTTACATGATTATAAGCAAGATCCTTAACTTTTTAAAATTTCAACATCCTCACAGTAAAATAAGGATAATAATAACTATCTGACAGGGCTTTTGCAAGGTTTCAATTAAATTCTAAATTGGCCGGGCACGGTGGCTCAAGCCTGTAATCCTAGCACTTTGGGAGGCCGAGACGGGCAGATCACGAGGTCAGGAGATCGAGACCATCCTGGCTAACATGGTGAAACCCTGTCTCTACTAAAAAATACAAAAAACTAGCCAGGCGAGGTGGCGGGCACCTGTAGTCCCAGCTACTCGGGAGGCTGAGGCAGGAGAATGGCGTAAACCCGGGAGGCGGAGCTTGCAGTGAGCTGAGATCCGGCCACTGCACTCCAGCCTGGGCGACAGAGCGAGACACCGTCTCAAAAAAAAAAAAAAAAAAAAAAAAAAAATTAATTCTAAATTGTGTGTAAAGTACTTCACCTTCACGAACTTTTGATAAAGCACTAATTATTATCTTGTCCAGTAAAAAGTATTTTCATGGCATAACCATGAACAGGTCTTCCCAAAATGTACATTTACATTAATTAGGCTTTCTACTTAGACATGAACAGAACAGAGAACTTTTAACAAGCACATGTTTAATATGTGATGAAATACTACAAAACACAAGACTGTACTTTAAACTGCTATAGGCAAACATGGTTTTCATTCTATTCATTTAAAATAGTTATAATAGGTTTTTTGGGACTTTTCTAGCTTCATGTCAAAATCTACAATAACAAAATAATCATAGCAGCTGTTTTGTCAGCAATGTAAAATCAGTCAGGGCCAGGTGCAGTGGCTCACACCTGTAATCCCACCACTTTGGGAGGCCAAGGCAGGAAGATCACTTGAGGTCAGGAGTTCAAGACCAGCATGACCAACACGGTGAAACCTTGTCTCTACTAAAACTATAAATATTAGCTGGGCATGGTGGTGCTCGCCTGTAACCTGAGCTACTTGGGAGGCTGAGGCATAAGAATCGCTAGAACCCAGGAGGCGGAGGTTATAGCAAGTTGAGATTGTGCTACTGCACTCCAGCCTGGGCAACAGAGTGAGACTCCCATCTCGAATAAATAAAATCAGTAAGGAGTAATATACATGATAATGCTATTT